TGGCTTCGAAGAGCTCAGATCTCTGGTGGTAACAGTAACGGTGATGCGGTTGTAGAATTTGAGAAAACTGTTCAGTCTGAAGCTATCGACACAAAGTGAGCTTCCTTGTCCTTTAGACATATCATTTTGTACTTTTTCACATTTCTCTTATGGTGTCTGTTGGAAGTGACTAAAACCCTTGTTTCTTACACACTAGTATGGTTATGAATTGTTAAAGTGTTGGTTTCATTTTTATGCGTTTATCAAGCTCTTAGTCTTTAAGCTAGATTCGTGCTATATTCATCCTCTGTTCAATTTGCTCTTCAGTTCGGAAGATTGGAAAGCGAGGCTAAAACTACCCGCACCTGATACTCGATACAGAACAGAGGTAAGGTTCACTATTCAGACGAAAGAGAGTAATTGAGGATTTCGATTTTTTTTGCATAGAAGTTGAGGAATGGTACATACACTGTTTGTTTCGCCTGTTGTGGTCTGGCACAGAGGTGTTTCTGCGTATTTGATAGGTTACTACATAAATCCATACTTGTTGATGATTGTTGTCTACATTTTAACCAAAGAAAAGAAGCTATTGATTAATATTTTTTCAATACGAAAACTGCTTGAGAATCTATTGGTGAAACTGGATTCATTTTTGGTCGCATGGGATGACATTTGCACTTTTCTCTACTTATTACAATTGTCAGGACGTGACAGCCACAAAGGGAAATGAGTTTGAAGATTATTTTTTGAAACGGGAGCTTCTCATGGGAATATACGAGAAGGGTTTTGAAAGACCTTCTCCAATTCAAGAAGAGAGTATTCCAATTGCCTTAACTGGTAGAGATATCCTTGCCCGAGCAAAGAACGGGACCGGAAAGACGGCTGCCTTTTGTATTCCTGTCTTGGAAAAAATTGACCAAGATAACAATGTTATTCAAGGTAACTGTTTATGGACCATGTTGTAAGTTGATTCTTTGGTGTGGTAGGATGCAATAAAAGAAATTGAAGTTCTGGCATCTACTAGCTATTGATTTTTCATGTGGTCTGAAATTTTCTCCTTAAGGTTTTTTTTGCTTCTTTTCTAATTTAGTTTATCGCTGATGCCTGTCTCATACGCAGCTGTGATCATTGTTCCAACTCGAGAATTAGCCCTTCAGACATCACAGGTGTGTAAGGAGCTGGGTAAGCATTTGAAGATTCAAGTCATGGTGACCACTGGGGGCACCAGTCTGAAAGACGATATCATGCGTTTGTATCAGCCTGTTCATTTACTGGTAGGAACTCCTGGGAGAATTCTGGATCTTTCCAGGAAAGGTGTTTGTATCTTGAAAGATTGTTCTGTGCTTGTTATGGATGAGGTAAATACTGGATGCTTACTTTGGCTTTCTGCTTTTAAATTTCTTTTTATCTTTCTAATATTTATACCATTTTCAAGTTGTAGCAATACTTTTGATGTTACTTACGATTCTAATTTAAATATGTAATTATTCATCAGGCTGATAAGCTTCTATCTCATGAGTTCCAACCATCAGTGGAACAGTTGATTGGGTTTCTTCCAGAAAATCGTCAGATTTTGATGTTCTCAGCTACGTTTCCTGTCACTGTCAAGGATTTTAAGGATAGATTTTTGACGAATCCGTATGTCATCAATCTCATGGATGAACTTACGCTCAAGGGTATTACCCAATTCTATGCTTTCGTTGAAGAACGACAGAAAATTCATTGCTTGAATACTCTTTTCTCCAAGGTTAGATCTGAACTAAGTATTGATCGTTTTGTTCTCTTTCCTTAGCTGGCATTTTACTCTCTCCTTCTTCTGCAGCTGCAAATTAACCAATCGATCATATTCTGCAATTCTGTGAACCGTGTGGAGCTCTTAGCTAAGAAAATCACAGAACTTGGATATTCGTGCTTTTACATCCATGCAAAGATGCTTCAAGACCACCGAAACAGAGTGTTCCATGACTTTCGCAATGGTGCATGCCGGAATCTTGTGTGTACTGGTATGCCGGATGCCTAATTGTTGTTATGTTGTCATTGCAGGAGTCCAATGAATAAAATCCTCAATTATCTACTTCTTATAACCCAAGAATAGCTTTAGTCTTAGGGTATCGAGTTACACTGGTTTTATTATTTAACTTTGTGGAATGAGCCAAGTTCTTCACCTGAATAATTTTATGATTTGATGATGGTTGCTGCAGACCTGTTCACGCGTGGTATTGACATCCAAGCAGTCAATGTGGTGATAAACTTTGATTTCCCAAAGAATGCAGAAACTTATCTCCACAGGGTAAGCTGAAAACCAGATGTCTACACATTGTACTAGATTCCTACATCTTGATTGATGGTTATTGATTTTGATACCTGGTTGATGTTCAGGTTGGTCGATCAGGAAGGTTTGGCCATCTTGGTTTAGCTGTGAATCTTATCACCTATGAGGACCGCTTTAACCTGTATGTCTTTCTCTCTTGACTGGTTGTTACTCCTGTTTACTACAGCATAGTTTAACCTTAGCTATACATTTTTTGTAGTTACCGGATTGAGCAAGAGCTTGGAACCGAGATCAAGCAAATTCCTCCACATATCGATCAGGCAATTTACTGCCAATAACCAAGGGTAGACCACCTTGGTTTTCTGTTAGGTGTTTCAGTAATAAGTGGTAAGTAACTTTTGGTTATGGACAAACTTAAATTGTTTTTACTTTTGGAGTCATTTCTTCATGTAAACTAAAGATTCGCTATGATCATTTATTTTACTGTATACAACACATACCTAAGTCTTATTGGAAAGATCTATAACCACGTTAAATAACTTGTGGAACCTTTTTTTTTTTTTTTAAAATAACTTGTGGAACCATTTATCTAAGTTCATATGGTTAATGCATATTAGTTTAAATTATTGTTCTCGTCCTATTAGGGGAGAACATCCCTAATGTTTTAGCTTGGTTCCCCATTTAAGAGAGATCCCTAAAGATAGCTTGGATTTGTGTGATATTTCAGGTTTTGGTTGAAGCAATGGGTAGACAGTTGTCTTATCTAGCCATGCAGAACAGTCACAACCCAAAAAAGTGTTTACTTTCTGCCTCTACCTCCGAAATGCTTTTTATGCATCATGGATTTCCTTTATTTTAACGATCAACTTTATTTAGACAAGGCCTAGAAGATTTGAAATGCTGGGTAGTGTTGGAAGTGAAGTCTTTTATGTAGTTTTAACAAGTCGTTTGATGCTATGTTTTGTTCTTTTATCGTAGACTGATCAGTGGTTTCACTGTTGTGTCTTGTCTTGAAGAAGCTGTGGTTTCATGACTTTTTCATGTCCTGTTTCCAGCTTTTCAACTTCAGTAATAAGTCATTGAGACCTTAAGATGATAATTTCCGGTTGCAGATTTTATTCTAGCATGTTGTGTTGTCAATAGGTTGGTTAGTTCAGGGTTTTGGTCTGTGGACAATTATTTTAGCACTCTTGGTCCGTGACCAACACACAACATACAAAAGATTCAAGTATGAAGAAAGGAGATAGGTGATCATCTGTATTACAGGTTGCTCTGCTGATCTCAGAAGCAGCTAAAAGATGACTTCTTGGGAACCTGTCCCGTGGCTTGAAACCTAGCAGCTTCTTGTTCCGCATCGAGTATCTCTTGAGCGCGTCTGGTTTGAACCTTTGCCTTCTTCTCTTGTGCGGAAGCATGAACTGCTACTTTCTTGATCCGTAGTTGCTCTGCTTTCTCCATTTTCTTACTGTCCATCTTCCTCTGCAGAAAGCAACAATCTTTTTGTTTGTTTGTTCTTTGATAACAGTAATAATTGTCATATTTTTTAGATGCAGCCGATTTGGATAGATTCATTTTTTTTTTTTGTAGCAATAGAACAGTCTTAAGCATTAGGAATTTAGGAGATGAGTCTAGAGATCTATTTGTGTAATCACCTGGATACTAGCGAGTTCAGAGTCGATCTTTGTTGTTTTCTTTTTCTCCCATCCTGAAATATCAAGGAGCTTCTTCTGAGTTCTGCGATACAAAAGTCGTTATGGTGCTGTAAACATAGCGATTGGAAACGCATAATGCTGAATTGTGTTGTTCCTTACTTGTTAATGACCTTAGTTATCTTTTGTTCCTTCCATGCCTTGATGACTGATAACTGTGCTTCTACATCATAAATGTTTACATTAACCAAAAATTAAATGCGTTTTTCGTAAGATAACATGTAAACGAACGATACTCAAACTTTGTTACATGATTAGTTACCTCTTTGGATCGGAATACCTGACTCCATTCAAGCTACAAGTTCTAATTTCAGGTTAAATGCGCATTTAGGTCTATTTATAAAGATATATTCGAATGCTTAAAGTGAGAATCGGAGTGGTAGGTTTCGATGACTTAATGTATTGTTTGTTGTCTTTTTCTTCTGGGAATATAAAACCATCATTGGATTTAATGGTTTCCTTCTGTGTTTGTCTTTTAATTTGTTTATTTTTCATTTATTCGATTTTTTGTCAGAAGGAATATTTATCACAGCTTGCAAAATAGCCGAATCTTGATAAAAAAAAAAAAAATTTTGCTAAATATCTTGATAAAATTGGCGAGCATCATTTCGTGATTTCACTTCACAACAAATTGGTAACTCCTGAAGCTTTGACATGAGTTTCGTTAAAATATAAAAATCTAAATCGATGTATCTCAATTGTTGACAAGAAAAAAAAAATGAAGTTACAGCTCAATTCTTTTAGTTGGAAATTGACAATTTTGTTATCGCTATAATGAAAACTTTAAAATTCCAAAGGTCTTTATTAAATTCTTCTCCTTCCTTTTCCTGTCGACGAGAAAAAGATGTCATTTTAGTTTCTAATTGAAGAATATATTTCGATATATGCCAAAGCATTCCATAGTATTATTATACTAGTTTGTTCCAAAGGCATTATCGTCGGCAAAATGTCTTTTGTTTAATAATGAGGTATGTTAATGATTAATAATGACTTAAGGAGGTATGTTATTCTATTTGCTTGCTTTCTCTATATATAATCATCAACTCATTATCATCAACAACTTGATCACTATTCAAAGCTCTGTTACGGAAATTAGAAAATCTTTATTCTTTTTTTTTTTAAATGAAACAATTTTTAGACATTGAATCCACACAAAATGCAAAGAGGGGACAAGCAAAAGCAAGAAATATCAAGGAAAATGGGATTGTCTTAGATAAAAATGCAATGGCTCATTAGAATATTTGATGATTTTTTCAGAGAGCTCGATCTTTGATGATGTCGAAGCTCATTTCGCTAGGATCGGTTGCTTGCAATTCAACTTGAATTCCATCCAATTCTCTCTTGAATCTGTCTTTTGAGCTTGCATATAACATCTTACTCCGCACTCTTGATGTATCAGGTGACCTAGTGAATATATATACAAATTAAGGTCATAAATATAGAGAGATGCATAACAATTTTAAAATCATGGAAAAACATATTATCTTGCTCCTCAAGTTATCTCTATTGATACAAAGGAGAGAGATGGAGCTATATTGTGTTACTTACCACGCGATGAAAAAGATCTTGCTCTTCTGGCAATTGTCCTCGGTGGTGAAATCAAAATCATAGACCGCGTATCGACATTCAGTCTCTGGGATAGAGTTGGTAAAATCGTCGTAAGTGTCTTCAGGATTCCCAAGCTTTTCGATTTGAACTTGCTGAGCATCCTCATCAATCTTGAACACGATGAACCTATAAGTCCTCTTTGATTTCAGCTCCAAGAACTTGAGCTTGCATTCATCACTTACGTTCATGCCAGATGCTGAATTAGCCTGCACATAGTCATTTATTTACACATGAGCCTTCTCCATGGTATATATATTCCTAACCAGATACCATAAGACTTTTAGATTTTGATTTTTAAATCATATGCATATGCTCACTACATCATCAACACAAAGTCAATTTATGCATGAACTCTCTTTGCATTATATACTTCCAACCCAAATACCACAAAACATAGTTTTTTGGTATCGAATCATAAAATATCACTATATATTCCACATGGGATTTCACAACAAAACATAGTTTTTTGGTATCGAATCATAAAATATCACTATATATTCTACATGGGATTTCACATTTTAATTACAAACCTCATATATGGCGGATGTAAAAATCAGAACATAAACCTAAGCCATGCATCATCTACATTAGAAGATCAAATGTAGGAACTTACCATGTTTTCGTTTGAGAAACCGAAATCCGAACCCGGGTTTGATGATTGGAGAAATGGAGAGGATGGGAAGAGTAGGAAGGTTGGAAGGGGTTTTTGAGGTTGAGGAAAAACACAATGGTGCTTGTTTTCTTTGGTCTTTAGGCTGATCACGTCTTCGAATACATGACTTTGATCCTCTCACGTTGTGCCCATATATATTTTCAAATGTTATATCTCTTTTTATATATAAAAGTATAATTAAGTTTTACTCATTCTTTTGGTACATTATTTGTGTTTTGCATATGAGCTCAAGTTTGATCGGGAGATCATTGGAGCGTTGAGGTTTTCATGATGAACATTTTTCATTTCTTTTTTTTTCTTTTTCAATTTTGACTCTCTCTATGTCATGATTGGTCTTTAGGCTTTTGCTGGTTTTGTTTTCTTTGTGATGATCTTTGACTTTAGTCTCTCTATGCTATATACAATCCATTTCTGCGGCCCAAATGTACCATTGAATCCACTGGATTTTAAAAGAGGAAAGCCCAACACTTTGGACTTCCAAATTGATATATTTGTTTAGCTTCTTTTTTTTTTTTGTCAAATATTTGTTTAGCTAACATCTATTTCTGTATGATTTTTTTGTCTAGTTACAAAAATAAAATCTCTTCTTTCTGTAATTCATGATATAAACACATTGAAAAAAATATCCTAATTTTTAAAGTTTTATATATTAGTGAGTGTTTATACACATACATTGAGAAATTTTAAAAAATATCACTTTTCAAGTGCCATTTTACAAAAATGCCACACTTTTGAAATCTTTAGCCGCTTATATTATTTATGTTTGGATTAATTATTTTTTATTAGGGTTTAGTTTTGAGTGTTTAAAGGGTTTTAGATGTCAAAACAATTTTTAAGATTTAAAATTTTAAGATATAGGCTTTATAAATCTATAATTAGTGGCATTTTTGTAAATGGACACCCCTAAGTTGCATTATTACAAATGTGCACACAAAAAGTGACATTTTTGTAATTGCTCTTTATATCCATTTATTAAGGCAAAAACTCTGTTGACTAAAAGATAATTGTTTGTACGTACGTATGCATTGCATAGTAGAGACGTGATTTGAAATTGATACGTCTCCTAAACAGAAAACGAGATTTAATTGTTAATTAACAAGAAACTTCATAATCTATCTTCATTTTTGAGTCTCTTAAATAGACGCTTTGTCTCTTCTGTAGCTATATACGTACTTAATTTGACTTTTATTTGGCTATTTCTAACGTATTTTCCGATTTCGTTTTATATATATATATCAAAAGGTACCTAACTTTTGGCACTAACGCATAGCTAGCTGTTCAAAATTGATACATCTGTTACATATGGCTATTTAACTACACAAAAATAATAATATTACGTATTCATAGTCAATAAAAAAAAGATGCTTTGATTTTTTATTTTATTTTAAAAACCCAATAAATACGTTATCTGATAATTGAGTAACAAACGATTAGGCTAAAACAAACAAAAACGTCTTAACTCGGGGTTGGGGTCAACGCTTCATACGATTGGTCTTGAGATGTTTCGTTGTGAGCCAGAGAAGATTGTTCCCTGCTTTAAACGGACACGTGTCAATATCGGACGACGGTTCACAAAGCAACCCGGTAGTTTCCATGGAAACAGAGGTAAATAAATGACCGAAGAGTAAAACAAAACCATTAACACTTTGAATTTCTAGACTTGTGTGTTTCTTTGCCGTATTTTCCAAGAAACTATGATTGTTTATTCATTTACTGGTTTGATTAAGACATGTAATTGATCTTTAAAGACCAAGTCATGTCTTTTGGTTTGTGTCCTCTGTTTTGGAAGACGAGTACAACTTGAAAAGGTACCTTTTTCTCTTTTGGTTATTTTCTCTCTTTATCTCACTTGAAATCTTTGTGGGGGTGGATTGAATCATATTGATGCTTCCATGGTTTCGGTTTCATGTTTCTTTTCAATTGTGTGGGAAAATTCCAAAGTTTTCTGATAACCTCGTGTTTCTGATCCTTGTGTTTCAGTTTAACAAAAAAGCTTCAATGAGCAATATAAAGCTAGGCGTTGAAGTCACTAGCGCACATGGTTTGTTTCACAGAGACAAACAAAACTCATGTAGCCCTTTCGTGGAGCTCAAGTTCGACAGCCAGATATTCCGGACCACGACCAAACCAAACGACTCAAATCCGGTCTGGAACGAGTGTTTCTACTTTGTTGTCTCCGATCCTTCAGCCCTCTCCAACCGTACACTCGAAGCCCATGTCTACAGCTACCAGAACGAGTCCGAAGCTAAACCTTTTCTTGGTAAAGTTCGAGTCAACGGAACATCATTCGTTCCTCGTTCCGAAGCAGCTCCTTTCAACTACCCTCTAGAGAAACGAAGTGTTTTCTCTAGAGCTCGTGGAGAGCTTGGCTTGAGAGTCTTCATTACAGACGACCCATCTATTACACCTTCTGTCCCAACCCCGGTCCAAGAATCGCCTCGAGTTTATACCCCGAGTCCGCGGAAAGAACCTGTAAAGTCTATAATCACAGCTATTGCTAATATAGCCTCTCCTGATGAGAGAACAGAGCTTAAGCCTAAGACACGTACGTTTTACAACGCTACACCTTCAGTGAGCCAAGTTCCGACAACGAATTTTGGCGTTCACGAGATGCGAGCTGCGCCAATGCCTCCAAGAGTGGTTCAATTCAACGGTCCAGGTCCATCTTCTCACCAGCTACCACCAGATTTCTCTGTTAAAGAGACGAGTCCTGTTCTCGGTGGTGGTCAGGTCATTGGAGGACGAGTGGTTCGTGGTTCTAAGAGACCAGCAAGTGGCACTTATGATCTCGTTGAAGAGATGAAATTCCTCTTCGTGAGAGTCGTGAAAGCGCGTGATCTTCCCACTAGAGACCTTACGGGAAGTCTAGACCCGTATGTCGAAGTAAAGATCGGAAACTTCAAAGGCGTTACCACCCATTTCGTCAAGCATTCAGATCCGGAGTGGAACCAAGTCTTTGCCTTTGCTAGAGATAATCTTCAGTCGAGCGTTCTTGAAATTGTGGTGAAGGATAAAGACGTTCTCCTTGATGATTATGTTGGAACTGTTCGATTCGATCTCCATGAGGTTCGGTTTCGTGCTCCTCTGGATAGTCCTTTAGCTCCCGAGTGGTATAGATTAGAGAACAAGAAAAGAGAGAAGAAAGATTGTGAGATAATGCTTGCTGTTTGGGAAGGAACTCAAGCCGATGAAGCTTTCGGCGATGCGATTTTCTCGGATTCTTTAACATCTTCAGACAGCTCGGACATTATATCCGCTAACTTGCGCTCGAAGGTGTACCATTCTCCTAGACTATGGTACCTAAGGGTCAAAATTATAGAGGCTCAAGATGTTATCATTGTCGGTGACAAATCTCGTCTTCCCGAGGCATTTGTGAGAATCAAAGTTGGTAATCAAATGTTCAAGACTAATGTTTCGCAGCGAACGATTCATCCGAAATGGGGACAAGAATTCATGTTTGTAGTTGCAGAGCCTTTTGAGGACAGCATGGTTATCTCAGTGGAAGACCACTCTGCTCCTAACAAAGACGAGCCTGTAGGAAAAGCTGTGATTCCTCTGTCTGCAGTTACTAAACGTATGGATGATAAAGTTTTTCGTCCACAATGGGTTCATCTCGAAGACTCGATCGCAGATGCAATGGATGCTGAAAAAGCAAAGAAAGTGAAATTCGCTACGAGGCTCCATTTGGCTGCGGTTCTTGATGGTGGCTACCATGTTCTTGATGAGTCCACGTATTACAGTAGCGATCTCAGACCAACGGCTAAACCGCTCTGGAAATCAGAAATCGGAGTCTTGGAGCTCGGGATACTTAACGCAAACGTGTTCCACACGACGAAAAATCGGGACGGGAAAGGTACATCGGACACATATGTTGTTGCTAAATATGGTCAGAAATGGGTTAGGTCTAGAACCGTAATCAGTAGCTTGAGTCCCAAGTACAACGAGCAATACACATGGGAGGTTTTTGATCCTGCAACGGTTTTAACCATCTGCGTCTTCGACAACGCGCATTTCACAGCTGGAAACGGTAACAGCGGCAGAGATCAGGCGATTGGGAAAGTCCGCATTAGAATCTCGACGCTTCAGACAGGTCGTGTCTACACACACACTTACCCTTTACTTGTTCTACAACCTTCTGGTCTTAAGAAAAGAGGCGAGATTCACTTAGCCATGAGATTCACCTGCACGTCTCTCTCCGGTATGATGATGAAATACACCAAACCTCTCTTGCCTAAAATGCATTACATACATGCAATACCCGTAAACCAACAGGATTTTCTTAGGGGACAGGCTTTACACATAGTGGTGGCTCGGTTAGGCCGGTCCGAGCCACCGCTTAGAAGGGAAGTTGTTGAGTATATGACAGATTCTAAGAGTCATTTGTTCAGCATGAGACGAAGCAAAGCCAACTTCTATAGGTTTACGACAGTGTTTTCCGGGGTGGTCTCGGTCTGGAAATGGATGGAACACGTGTGCACGTGGAAGACTCCGGTGACGACGGGTCTGGTCCACGTGTTGTACACGATGCTTGTGATGTTCCCGGAGATGATTTTGCCGACTGTGTTTCTGTATATGGCAGTGATTGGGTTGTGGAATTACAGATTTAAGCCAAGATTTCCTCCTCATATGGACACCAAATTATCTTTTGCAGAGAGTGTGAATCCTGATGAACTCGACGAAGAGTTCGATATGTTCCCGACCGTAAGGGCTCCGGACGTTGTGAAAATGAGGTAACAAAAACTAGGACTTAGTCATAAGATATTAGTACCAAGAAAATCATTTTTTTATAACCACCGTTTCGGATTGTTAGTTCATATAATCTTTCTGATCTTCTGGGTCAGCCGTTGATAATATCGCCGCGTTTAAAGCGTAAATCAGCTCTCAAGTGGAATTGAACTAGTAACTCTCAAGACTACTAGACCATCATCCACTTGGTAGAAATTTTCCTCTTTGGTTTGATATTTTTTTTCTTCTTTGTTTCTTAGGTACGACCGGCTAAGAATTGTTGCCGGGAAGATACAAAAGGTGGTCGGAGAAATAGCAGCACAGGGAGAGCGCGTGCAAGCGCTTCTGAGCTGGCGTGATCCACGCGCCACCGCAATATTCGTGACGTTCTGTTTCATCATTGCCATGGCTCTCTACATTACGCCTTTTAAACTCGTGGCTCTCCTCTCCGGTTACCACTTCATGCGACACCCTAAGCTTCGCCACCGTATCCCTTCAGTCCCATTCAACTTTTTCCGGCGACTTCCGAGCATGGACGACTCTATGCTCTGAATTTACATGTTTGTATTTTATACAACTCTTCTGAATTCATAGACAGAGACCATAAAGGCCCATGGGCCTTTGTATATATTATCATAATAAGGCCTTGAAACGTCATTAGTTCCCTCCTTAGTTAAAAAAGTCCGTTACAAAAAGTAGCGATTACGGCATGGAGCCAACGGTAAAACGGAGACAGAGACCACTTGCTTAGTTTTCAGCTATTGGTCATAATTCAGAGAAAAAAAAAAAACCAAATCTGTACGATAACAAATTATTAATTTCTAAGGGTTTTTTTGGTATAGTAATGGCCAGATTCTTTGTTGCCTTCTCTCACCATTAAAATATTTCATCAACTTGTCGGTAAAATTATTTTTGGCTTATTCTAAGCTTTCTTTCTCTGTCTTGTTGTTTATTTTCAAACAAAAATATAGAAAAATCAATAAATCATTTCTGAAATTACAGATGTGTATATAATTAGATGCACGTATGTACTTCTTCACTGTGTATATATATATAAACTTTGTGATCTGATCTACTTTTTATCTAAATTATTATCCTAGGGGTTTCGACAAATTCGGTTTTAGTTTATGCTACTTCACATGAATCACATACGTTCATGTCGATTTGATTGAAGATACGGTCTCTCGATTTCGGTTTCTTTTTTCTTTATATAACTATTTAATTTATTGTAACCACGTGGATTTGCTTGTCCTGGTTTTTGTTTTTTCCTCATTTCTCGAGCGTTTTGACGAAATCGAGGAACCTAAATACTACAAGTTCGTCGATCCAAAAAAAAACCATTGTGAAGTTTAGGTTTTTGCATTTGAATCGTATCGATTATATAGGTCGCTGCTTTTTTATTCAGTTGATTGGCTCCAGACCCAGAAATTTAGGTTTTTTTCTTTTCTTCTAAATTCCCCTTTAGTTCATCTTCGAGCTTAGTCGATTTCTGTTCGATTTTGAGTTTGTTCTTCAACTGGGTTTAGTGTAAGT